AGAGTAGTACTCTATTCAATAAGTGCGGTGGGTTCTTTAACATGCGTAGGGTGTGGCTCTCCCCAAACACAGGACCTCCATTTAACATCCTATTACAGGTCCCTAACTGAAGCTAGGTACTCATTTCCACCTGAGTCGAGTGAGGAAAGTTGTGTAAAATGCCTTCCCCAAGGGCACAAGATCGGTGACATGGGTAGGATTTGAACCCGGTACCCGTCAAAACACGCTACCGCTACACCACACAACCTCACAAGAGCATTTGAAATGTACTATAATATTAGCTTGTATCTTAAACCGTAAATCACCTCTTTCATGTCGTGGTGTTCTATCGCCATGGAGATGACATTGACCCCAATGATGGCAGCGATGCACAAGTCAAAGTACTTATTTGTGATCATGTCGTACACGAGCCTCCGCGGTCTGGAGTATCTCATGTAGAAAAGCTCATCGTCCGAGTCTGGGAGGGAAAAAGAACGGCTTATCATGAAAGTTCATCTGTTGGTAGTGATCATAGTAAAAAGTTGAACTTTATTCCAACACACAGTTTACAGAAAGATCAAATTTTCAGCGACCACTGTCACCTTCATCAGGATAATTAATGACCGATCACTTCACAACGTGATCTCGCTGGAGTTACTGTTTACAAACATGTGACCTTATTCACACAATATAAACTCCCTGGCACTTTTGATCAACTACATACGTCACGTATCAGTAAAGTCGCGCATGAATAAGGTCACGTGTTTGTAAACAAACCGTAACTCTCACGAGATCACGTTGTGAAGTGATTGGTCATAAATTATCCTGATGAAGGCGACAGTGGTCGCTGAAAATTTGATCTCTCTGTAAACTGTGTGTTGGAATAAAGTTCAGATTTTTACTAAAAAAAAGCGGCTGTTACATGAAACATGTGGATTGTGCAGATTGTGAAATAATCCTACACATATATTACAGCCTCCACTTTAATTCAGGACTCCCAGTTTAATTCTGGACTAATTCCCATATCCCAACAACCTTACATCTAGATGGGCTAATATCGTAAACTACATGTATCTAAGGTAAAAATGATGTAAGAAATATGTATATGTAGCAGCCATCGAGGACCCCTTGGGGTTTAACCCAAATCTGCAGAATTCTTCCCAGAATTCTGGTTCCAGTTCCAAGAATTCTGCAGAATTCTGGCTCCAATTCAGAATAAAATCTGCAGAATTAGGTTAATTCCCAAGGGGTCCGTGATGCCTACCACATATTTCTTACATCATTTTTACCTATAGGTTACGATAGTAGCCCATCTAGATGTAAGGTTGCTGAGATATGGGAATTAGTCCGGAATTGAAACTAGAAGTCCTCATTCCTCACATTTTGATTTTAAGCAGTACTAACTTTGATTTAGCCAAAAATGGGGTACAAATCATTTAACACTAATTCCATTTCCTCGTACTCTCCTGTTCCATTTTAACTTTCTCCCTGCTAGCGATAACTTAATATGCAGTATTCAGTAAGATTCAATGCATGGATTAGTCCATACATGTAGCAGGGGGAAAGTTGAAAGGGAAGAGATTATGGCATTATCTACATATCTGTGCACCACAAGAATCACTATGTTACCATACTTCAGATTAGAAAGTCTACATTTTGTCTCTTTTTAGTTTAGAAAGTCTACTTTTCCCATTTTGTCTTTTATGCTTTATTGTCAACACTAGAAGTCCCTTACTTTTACCTAATGGTATGTAAAATTGCCAAGTAAAATTCATATCAAATGGGATTTTAGAATTGAGGAAATACTAAAGACAGAATGGGCAGTGTAGAGTTCCTGATCCAAAGTGGAACATACTATTGTTACACCATTGCAGTACTACAAGAGAAAACCATCAATTTCTCTTTGATTCGTTTTTTAAGCTTAGAAATGGAGCAGAAGAGTCTTCTCCTTCATAGCAATGTTTTTCTATGAGAAGTGTTTTGGATATGATTACAAAGGCTTCAAACCAAAGTCCATTTTGTGTAGTAAGAGTTGATATCCAAATGCTAACAACAATTTGATGGCATTTCAGCACCATGGCAGCAAAAATACTTTTTTTGAATAAGAAGAAATCTCACTTTTTTAAAACTGCTTCAATAGCAGTGCAAAAGATACATATGTGCTCAAGCATTTTTACAAGAGGTTCATTTTGTTCCAAACACATAAAACATTAAGAGATGTTAAGATAGAGACATTAACAAGTTGTCAAAGTCAATGCTAAAAGGATGGTTCTTGATGCACTACTGTGTACTACAAATTACCAGCTAAAGTGCTAGCCTAGTTTATAGCACATTAAAGCTAAGTTATAGAAGCCATTACTACTACTTAGGATAAGGCAGAAGAATGCTATGCTAAAGCACCAAAGGGAAGAGATAGTGCTATGTCACTAGCTAATCTACCAGCAGTTTTTCAGAAAAAAGGTTTTCTATGGAAAGAGTACAACTAAAAGTTTACCAACATTGTTCATACCTTGGTTCAATTATAAAAAAAGATAAGCAGATTACCAAAGTTGTCAAGAATTAGTTGCATCTAACATCTATTGTCAAACAAATAATGCAAAGATGATAGTTTGAGACTTTATGAACAAAAAGTGAAGGCAACAATGACATCTGACAATGCCACACAACAAGACGACACTACATGTATGTGCACCACACAATGACAGCACGTTATTAGTAGTCACAAGTGAACAGCAAAATTAGGTGACAGCTACTACATGTACATCCAGAAAGTTTGTTAGCAGTGAGCAGTGAGATGTGTTAAACGTTATCCATCTTGAAACACCACACAACTACACCAGAAAATCCAAATGTGCACATTTAGGGGGTTGTTAATAGTCTTGTTACTTACGGCAGGCCAAGAGCATTACAATTTCCCTGGTTCTAGACAAGCATTCCCCTCTAAGATCATAGTAGGAAGCTATAACATGCAAAGAAGAGAGGCATCCCATGATTAGAACACATGCAGAGACTGCATGTTAATTTGTTGAAGAAACTGCAGCCAATATCAAGTTGAGCTGCAGTACACGTTCTATAAGATAGATGGGGTTATTGAGCAATCAAATCACCTCTAAGATCATAGTAGGAAGCTATAACATGCAAAGAAGAGAGGCATATCCCATGATTAGAACACATGCAGAGACTGCATGTTAATTTGTTGAAGAAACTGCAGCCAAGTTGAGCTGCAGTACACGTTCTATAAGATAGATGGGGTTATTGAGCAATCAAAGAAGTGTGAGTAATAACTATGAGAAGGAATACCTGGTTAACACAATCTGAAATGAAGAGAATGGTAAATGTATCTCTACTGAAGGGTATTTTGTGTTAACTTTGTAATACAAAAACACATTTTGCTTTGCCAAAAGATCTATTCCTACTTGGGGAAGCCTGATGTTTTGCACCTTTTACAAATGTGACATGCTTAACAATAACCATGATTGCATCATAAAATATACTCATGTCAGCAGTAACATTAAGATATTTCTGGCCTACATGTACATGTCAAAATTCCTGTCAAATGCCTAATATTTCATCAGGTTCTGGTGAAAGAAAACAGTAACTTTCCTTGTGGCCTTTCACCATCATCAAGTTTTATATTTGCACCACACAGAATCTAAAACCAAGACTCGTGGAAGGAACATGAGAGAATTCTTATATAACAGTTGAGGATAAAATCTAGAAAAAGAGAAAGTAGGTTGTTATCACCACCACCCTAATGGAAAAGGGTAAAAAAAGTAGAATATTAGAAACATTTTTTTATCATTGTGCCAGATGTCATTGCAACCAACACTTTAAAGAAGAGTCTCTTGATGATTTTGGTTCATGATCAGTTGCATCGCGAAATGGCAACAAAGAGTCTGGAAACAAATGTGGAAATTTGAGATGGGCTAGCACAAAAATGGAGACATGGGTCTTCAACAGTGCTGTTGTTTTGAAAGAACTGAGGTTTTTTGAGATTATCAAGTTTTCTTTCCAAAAAATGACACTGTATGTAAGCAACATAAATATTTGACACCGGAAACAGTTTTGAGACATAAAAATTTGTCACCAACGAGTACTAAACCTTCGCAAAATAAGAGTTAGTAAATTTCTGACGCCTCAGACAACCTTTAACGGGTTTTTGTTCCTTTTTTCCCGCCTGCTTTGGGAGTTTTGTTCCCTCTGTCTCCTCAGGCACAGGCGGAAGACCTGTTATAATAACCAGGGAAGAAAATAAGCAACTCAGTTGACAGTTATAGGAACCATTTTGATCGACATAGAGCATGTCAACACAGACATTGTGAAGACAATGGAATTTACAATTCACAGCACTGATGTAATTTTGAATAGATGTAAGTGGGAAGAGGCAGTTCATGGCACATGAGGAAACACAAATACATGTAGACAGCACAAATAATGAATGTCATGTTTGATCTATGATATAGAGGTAATCAAATCATTCAAACATCAACCAACAATATATTATATATTAATGAGAGCAAAATATAATACTGAGGAATTCAGATCAAGTCAACTCAGTCAAGAGAGGACCACTGATATACATTGTTCTGTCTCATTGATCTCAAGTTGCAAAAAGCCTGTTACAACCCTATTAAGTTGATCAACTGTCAAAGATGTCAAATTGCACCAATAAGAATGCAATTAGTATACAAAAACAGTGTCCCATATATTGTTATTCATTCACTCCATAGACTCTGGGCACGAAATTCATTTTTGGAAATATTTTTGGGTGCACCATATAGAAAATGAAATGTGTATTGATACCGATCAATTTGGATCTTGCAAAAATTCAGTTAAACCCAAATTCTAACAGTTACTTCAAAATGATCTTAAACAAGTACTGCAACAAAGATTTTATTATTTATCTGACACTTTGAGGTCAAGAATATGCTGTTTAGTAGTATACATTAGATAACATGATAACTTTATTGCACAACAATAGATTAAGTTACATATTACTTAAACATATGAAAACATTTGGGTGCACCAGTGCACCCACAGAAAAAAAATGGAGTGCGCAGCTGCAATTTTGGGTGCACTAATAAGGTGCACATGCACCCAGCATGTCGGCAGAATGTAATGCACCTGCATGAAACCCGTATTGTGCATACATTTGTAGCACTTTGGCAGAATGTCTCATATAAGGTCGCATTTGTGCATATAAGGTTAACATCCCATCTGTAGTTTCCAAATGTTGTGTTGGAAAAGATATTGTCTGTAACAGGCAAAATTCTGATGCAACGTTGACCAAACATCCAACGAAAACCGTGAAAATCAGGGTTTCATGCAGGTGCAGTACATTCTGCCAACGTGTTGTGTGCACCAAGGTGCAAATACACCCAGTATTTCCAGCCCTGCCACTGGCTGTCCTTACCAGCCTCTCTGCGCATCCTCCTCTCCATCTTCTTCCTCCTCCTCTCCTCCTGTGCCAGGCGTTCCTCCCGCTCGGCATCCTCCCGACACTTGTGGAAATTCTCCACCACCACGCCCACAAACATGTTCAACACGAAGAAGCCAACCAGCAAGAGGAAGGAGATGAAGAAGATGATCATCCACTCATTGTAGTTTTCAATAGGCTGCAAGGATAGATGGATAGTGTTGGAAATTGAAGCTCAGTCTTTATTTCATAATGACTTGTACCAACACAGATGAACTTTCATGCTACAGGTGGATATGTCGTTGAAGGTTAGGCATCCAGGTAATAAGATACGCCAAAAAAACAGTTCCACAAGCAAATGGATCATATTTCTAAAATCATATCCAGTTGCTTGTCGTAACTGTTTTTGGCGGATAGATGGATATTATGGTCAAAACTTGCCCAGGAAGCAACCACCTCTATCTGGCCATAATGACTGCTTTTTGTTGGTCCCGATTTTCCCCCATACACGTATTTCTAAGCATTAAGGAACTTTTTAAACTGCGACCAACACTAAATACAACTGCACATGGCCCAATCTCTGCCAACAATGTATGATGGCCACATCGTTTTCAAGCATGTGGCAGAAAAATTATTTTGATGATAACTAGCAAGAAATCTTAATAAGACCAGTTTGCCATTGATCATGATTTCAACAGCATGATAGTTTTTGCACAATGTATAGATTGAAATAGAAATGGGATATACATGTAGCTCTACATGCAGTCTGTTTGCCAATCAAAAACAATTTCTTGTGCTGAAGTCCATGAATGTTTGTTATAAATGAAGAGTCCTGACCTGTACATCTATATCCACTGCATCCAGGCCGTTGTACATGATGTCTACCCAGCCATCTTTAGATGCCAGCACAAACAGGGCCATCAGTGCCTGGTGTGGACAAGGGAACAATGTTATGTAGCTGTATCAACTGCAAACTGTTATAAAGCAAGTTACCACAAAATGTTTTGGGAGGATTCATTAGAGGTTTTTCCAGGCCTATTCTATGAGCCATATGCATGGCTATTATAGTGAGCATACACTTACATATATATGTAGATATGGCCATGCATGGTACTTCATACTATTTGTTAAAGTTTATGCAAAACATTTTATAATTTATTACATATTTCTCAAACAGTTTTAATGAAATTTTGTCTGCTATCCTGGGCAATTACTAATAAATCTTTCATTAAAATTGTTATTGAATGCCTGAAGATGAAGAGAAAATCTACTCTAAACCAAAGTGTTATAACAGAAATAAGACAACACCATACACAGAAATGTTACTTACCTGTCCGAGGTTGTCAAAGTTATACTTCTGATTGACCCATTTCCTCTTGGTGTCCTTCAGACAGTCTGTCTTGTTTTTCACCCCATACAAGTCAGGGCCTTCACAGTGGAAAAACTTCCCCTTGAAAAGCTGATAAAAACATAAAAAATATCTATGAATTATAGTTTCATCAGGTTGGTAAGTTACTGATTAAAGAGACTCTTTTTACACAACCAAGTCTTTTATTCACAGCCAACGTTTCGGTGACTGTCTGTCACCTTCCTCAGGACAATCCAACTCCTGCATGTACATTTGGGACCGCATTGTAGATACAGTTCCCTGTAACCACGTAGATGTGTAAATATTGTATGCTTGGGAATGCATCAAATTGTACATTGTATAGCAGTGGCACCAGCTCTGCAGTGCAATGTGAACCAGTCAGAATTGCCCTGAGGAAGGTGACAGACGGTCACCAAAATGTCGGCTGTGAATAAAACACTTGGTTGTGTAAAAAGAGTCTCTTTACTAAACACCAAAAACAGTTTCATTAGTTTTTGGTAGAACATCAGATATTGGGATTTTCTTTAACACAACCAGTAATGAACCAGGACGAAGGGAGATACAAACTCAGCCATGCTTGAGATTATGTTCTCACTGCAAAAGCGCCACCTACATCGGCTACATATAGCGGCAAGAACTCCAGTCAGAAGTTCTGAGGAAGTTGTCTAAAAGTTAAAAGTACTTTGTATAACTGTCTTTCACTAGCCTGGTTACCAAACCTATTTTAGCTCCTGTATATATTGCAGAGAGGATGTAGGTCTAGGGGGCTAAAATAGGTTTGGTAACCAGGCTATCTTTCACAATGTTGGTACTTACTCCAAGGGCAACCCATAGTGACTAATGGCCATCTCTGGGGCTTCAATTTGTGAGTAATTGAGGAGACATGGGACCATAGAGTAATGTTCAGACAGCTAACTAACCAACTTGTCCTCTCCCTCAAGAACAATATATATTTTACATTGTGACCTTGTTTTCCACACTTTACTATGTTACTTAGATCTGGGCTTTAAGTGATGTAGTTGAAAGTGTGACAACCAATGAAAGATAAGTAGTTCTCTGAGGACAGCAGACAATAAATTGCTTTACTTTCTTAAATGAGTCACTTGGCAATTATCTGAACTTCATGTTGTTGTTCACACAATGTACATGTATGTAGGTGGTGACTTTGTTAGCATACATGTATACCATGCATCACAGGGGAAATTGGGGGATTGGAAAGTGGAGTTTGAAACTTCTTTTAATCTTGTTAACTGTACAATGGCACAAGTCATTCCTTAGTGGAAATAGTGCCACCCAACAGTTGAATATTAGTGGATGTCAAACTAATTGTTCCAAACAAGGAGGCAAAAATACAGAGACAGTGAATCTAAACTTTTTTTTTTTAACCGAATTTAACGTCATTTTCCCCCAACCGGGGGTTAGACGTGCTTGCACCAAGTACAAGTCTTTTTTTGAAGCAAGATTTTTACGGCTGGATGCTCTTCCTAACGCCAACCCAAACCCTAGTAGGGCCCAGGAACCTCAAAGTAAACCATAGGTAAGAAAGTGATCTCAAACCAATTTTTTTCAAGCTCGCTAAAGAGCTACTCTTCCACTGCTTGTGACAGAGAAGACAGATACTTTCACGGTCGATGTTCAGGAGAACTTGCACTTCTTGTTCCTCCACTCAGAACCTTTCAGCGTGCCACTAGGTTCTCTTCCAGTTCTCATCAATACACCGTTAACATACCTGTCTCCAAGTCATATTACAACAACAGCTTCTTTCCCCGGACTGCAAAATTATGGAACTCTCTTCCAAACAGCTGCTTTCCGTCCGATTACAATCTACAAAGCTTCAAAACAAACGTCCACCGCCATCTCATGACATAGCTACAATATACTCCCCTAAGTACCTCTAGCTCTATGCCTAGAAGTGGCCAAATATAATTGGCCTTGCATTGAGCGATACCATTAAAAAAAAAAAAAAAAGATGCTATGTACAGTATTTACAGGTTCATTGTACCGGGGAAATTCCCCTGGCTCTTGACAAGCACAATGAACAGTGGACCACGGTTTAATGTCCCGTCCTAAGGACAGCGACTCTTCCCAGTAGCGTGCATGTCAGGTGAGCGACACAACAGCTGGGATTCGAACTCCAAACCTCTTGGTTAAGAGGCAGGGTTGCTAACCACTGGACTACGCATGCTACCATAGGTTGCTAAGGATAACATTAGAAGATCATTTTGAGTTCATACGGGGTACTGACCTGTACACCAAGTATCCCAAAGATGACAAAGAATGTACAGCAGATGAGAACAATGTTCCCAATGGGCTTCAGGGAGGACAGTAGGGTCTGGACAACCAGCTTCAGGCCTGGGGCTCGACTGATCACTCTGCAGGAATAAATAACAAATATAATTATAATAACAAAAATTTCAGCATTATGCTTTAAGCATAAACTATTCAGCATTCTTTTTCATCAGTGACACTGGAGAGCACTCAAATTAAACATGAATTTCTTCTCCAAACAAATAAGGTCAATGACCTGAACAAATAAGGTCAATGACCTGAACCAGATGTCTGTCATGATCACCATGGTAACTAGTGTTGGGCTGGTTACATCATGTTGCAATTTTATAGCAGGGGGGATTTAGACTCCTGTCACCATATATATGAATGTACTTGAGTAAGAATCAACATAGCAGACCATATGCGAAGGTAAACATTATGCATTTGCTTTCCAAATATTACCGTTCTAGTTTTCTATACTATGTTAACTTTGTTTCTTTTACCAATATTATTACATTGTACTATGTACAATTGTTGTGCAATTAACTACTTCTTTTTGTAATTCAAAGCTGCAACAGGTGTCCACAAGTTACAATTTATGGTCACCTGAGGGGTCTGAGAGTCCGAAGCAAGCGGAAGACTCTTAGGATGCCGAAGATTTTTGGACTGCTATTGGACGATACCATGATGACTGTGTCTGCCAGTGAGATGGTCACCAGGAAGCCATCGATGACGTTCCAGCCACTCTTCAGGTACGCACCTTCACCAAACACAAATCCTAACGCAAGGACCTGCAAATGAATTTTTTAACATTAAGATAAACTTATATACAGCGTATAAGAACAAAAAAAATCTTAACAGGGAAGAATCTATTTCTAGGTAGAATTTTGGTCTTGAGTAACGAAAGATATTCTGGGTGTGAGATAAAGCTATTTCTACCCGTCAGAATTGCCCTGAGGAAGGTGACAGACGGTCACCAAAACGTCGGCTGCAAATAAAACACCATTTGTGTAAAAAGATTCTCTTTATTCAGTAACTTACCAACCTGATGAAACTATTCACGAACTTTTTATGACAAATCTCTCACCACCAGTCTGACTCACCTTAACAGACATCTCCAAGGTGAATATGACAGTGAAGACATGGTTGGCAATTGTCAGGAACATTCTCTCCTAGAGGGGGGATAAAGGTAATGGTGATGTAGTCCCAAAGACCAGGCATTGTGGGAATACAGAGGGAAGAACTCACACAATCACTTCTAAAATCCACTTCATCCATCAAAACGTAATGTCTTTTCTGTAACTTACTGCAGGGCAAATTACCCATCTGCGATGCAATTTCTAATTGTCACTAGGTTCCAATCTTTAACCAGTTAAAAGCTTTTAAGCCCAGAGCTGAAAACAATGAATCTTACATTTTCTTGATCTTGAATCCATCAATCATGATTGTATCTTATTGGGAACTTCCCAGGCCCTCAAGCCTAACTACTTAATGTAAAAGTTTCTTTGACTTAAATTGACTTCATGACTGTCAGAGAATACAAGGAAATCAAACTATCCAAAATCAGAATATGCTGGATTTGAAATAAACTGCAACAAAGACAGCTATGATAATCAACAACTTCACATTGAGCTGAGTCAAGCAACTATCTCCTTGGTGCTGAAAAAATGGTTATTGTTATTTAAAGTTTCATTAGCTGTTATACTTCTACAAATTGATAGAAATCAAAGAGGCCACACTAATTTAATTTGTTGGTTCACAGATTTGCCTACTTCTTCTAGTTCTAGTTTCAAAAAAGTCCAGGCTCTGAATCAACTCCAAAAATGCTCATATTTTGGCCCCAACAGTTGAAGGAAGTCCCTTCTCTTCAGAGTTGTTACAGTTTTTCTGATAAAAATACGACAACCAACAAATTAAATTGATGTGGCCTGAACTGACTATTGATAGTCTTTGCTGTTAAACTTGCACAGAACATTTCAGATAGAGACATACTTTTTTAATGAAGAAGAAATGATCATCAGAGCTGCTGCATTGAAAATGACTTTTAGTTATCAGTTCTAATTTGAAGTTGCATTGGTGTATGTGTCCTATATACTCATTTTTCTTACGGCAATGAAATGCATCTACTTTACAATGATATGAAGTTTATCTTTTTTATAATAGTGATAAACCTGCTAATTTCTCTTTATCCCATGTGTGTAATAATTCTACATATCATGATATCTAAATGCCTTCAGACCTTCACCTACATGTACACATGATATCTTTCTTTCATTGAGTATGAGAACCAAGACTATCAAACCTTTTATCTATGGCTCTCTAAATGAAGTAATAACAAGACACTATCCCTAGAGACAGTGTAATCTTGTCTGATCAAAGGATCAAAGGCTGCGTGGGTGTGGATATCATGTTCAAAGACCAAAGTTGACTTCATTTGCCTGAGTGCTTTTCAAAGTGCAAGAAGAGACAAGGACAATAAAACACAAAGATGTTTAAAACATGATTGTTGTCCTGAAATTGTGTCTCTAGAGACAGAAATTAAGTTTTTCTTTACTCTTATGCATAGGAGCCAAGTAGCAAGATTGACTTCACTTGCCTGAGTGCTTTTCAAAGTACAACAAGAGAAAGGGACAGTAAAATGCAATCTGATTATGATTCTCTACTGTTTAAAACATGATTGTTGTCTTGAGATTGTGTCTCTAGAGATAGAAATTAAGATTTTTTTCAAAGTCATATACATAGGAGATAAGTATATAGACATTCATTTCTGTGCAATCCTGCTATCCCGTGGAGGGCAGTAAGGCAACACAAATGGCTAGCTTTACCAAATCTGAAGGGAGCTGTATATCACTGAGCATTCCAAGAAGGAGTATCAGTAGCTACATCTATCTTACTGAAAGGCCTACCTGTCTACCAGTGGTAACAGGACTGTGTATTCTCAGAAAAGGCAATTTTATGGTGATGTACCAGTATGTGTAAAAGTGGCAATGCTTGCTCACACTTGTCCTAGCAAATTGTACATTCAATCCAAGAACAACTGCTGAATGATGTTTTAAGGATATAGTGTTGCAGACTGGAATGCCAAGCTCAGGTTGGGAAGTGTAGATCATTTCTGACTTGACAACAATACCTGTATATCTTCCCCTGCCTCATCCACTTTGCAAATTTGATATTGCAACTTTTTGTTGCCCAAAGTTACAGTTCAATTGCCTCAATATCTAGTAACTGCTAGTTGCTAGTGGTAAAGATTTTTATATCATGTCAATCTATTGCAGACTTATCCTAAAATTTGTGTCATTAAAACAACATTAAAATTTGATACAGCAGTATCTTTGATATTTCCTTCCTAATTAAATAACTGACTAGTGTTCAAATCTTTGATTCACTAAAACTTTTATCTACCAAAAATATTACTCCAGCAAATCAAATGACATACTAAAGAAGCCAAAAATGCATTTTCCCTCATTGGGCACAAAACTATATTATGTTATATAACATGAAAACTGCCAGAGGTGATGGAAGTACAAGTATGTTAGAATGGAAGTTCTGTTGTGTCCTAAGCTCTTTCTTGCACCCAGAGGGATCATCCCAACAACACACATCCATTAGATGTGACAGACAAGTTTGTCTCCTAAGCTACTTCAAAGCATCCTCGTAGCCTGATTGATACACCAAACACTAAATGGGATGGCAGAATCTGATGGGATCTCACAGATTCATATTATGGGGGAGGACAATGGATATGCTCTGCTCAGATAACTCGTTTGCAGTGTTTGTACGAGTGACATAAATCCCCTAACTTCAGACTCAGAAACTTCTACAATCTACCAGGGTTAGCATCTATCTTTCTTGTGATATAATGGTAGAGATTTGTTCATACAAACATAGTTTCATCGGTGGTAATAGTGGCAGCCCTATCACTGAAACAAACAAAATACAGGGTCCAAAAAAGACAGCTTCTCCATCATCAAGTACATTTTTTTTTGTACATTGAACTTCAAGGAAGTGTTAAAAGGCATACAGGTCTGGAGAAATACAAAGAAATCATTCAGATGTTCTTAGCCTTATTTTGTCCCTTTCCTTTGCTGTTACGGTTTGCAATATCTACATGTGTATCTCTCTGTATATTGGAATTCCCTCTATACTTATATAAAAGATAAATTCCCCAGCTTAAGACTTTTAGATGACATGTAGAAAAATTCAATTTCCTTATGAAACTTGACAAACCATGTATCATTACATTTGTACATGTAGCTCCATATATGAGGTTATCTATAACTGTCTCAAGAAGAGAGAAGAAGTTGAATCTGTAAATAGTAGATCACATTAGTATATATATATATAGTTTAAGTACATGTGAGTTATTGTTGTATTCTTTTCCCTGTTTATCCATGACCTGTACTTAGCTTGTATGAGCATAAATTTACAATAAAGGTCTTTCATTCATTCAATGATATCTTGTGATGGGTACTGTTTTGGGTAAAGCACAGCTACATTTGTACAAGGTGAAGCAGACTTACACCACTGTCTGGGTCAATCTTGGGTCTCTCCATGGCCAGGGTGATGCAGTTCATGAAGATAAAGATCAAGATGACGTGGTCAAACCACTTCTTGTTGACTAGGTACTGGCACAACTGTCGTAACCTGTGGAACATTGGCATAAGTCAGATGTTATGTTCTGTATTGAGCATCTTGAAGCACTTATTGTTCTAATATTTCTATGTCAGGTAAGGACACACCAGGTAATTTTTATGGATGACGACTACACACATATTGATTTTGGCCTGTTCCCAGAAAAAAAACATTGTCAAGAATTTCTGCTTCTTGTAACTGTGACCAAAGGTTCATGACAGACGTGATTAAAAGAAAGAAACAGAACAGGACGACAACTGCTGTTCCACTGATTTATTACTGTTTTCATGAGACATAAAAAACTTGTTGGTTGTAACACTGTGTTCTCTCATTCAATTTGTGTCCTAACATTTGTCGTCCCTTAGTATATTTCAAATCTAGGCATCTTGCTTTTGTCAGCCCTTCTTGTTTTTTTTTCATGCTCTTGCATTAGATTAAGGGTCTCCAGAGGACGTCATCCATGAAAATTACTTGGCGTGACCTTAAAGAATATAATGTAGTATGTACAGTATAGCATCTGATTATTTGATCAGTTGTTCATTTTGTACAGCATTCACTCCTGTCTGAGGCATATTTGAAGACAACAGGATTCACCAAACAGAATTGTTAGTTTCTCTCTCACCAAAGATTACTCACCTGTTCTCAGGTGCAAACAGGAAGAGGGAGTAGTATGCTCTGGTCTTGAAGCAGCCTTTAGGGGCAGGGCAGCATTTCCAGTATATGTTCTGCAGAGTAACAAGGTCAAAAATTAGTTACATCTCTTTCTTGTCATCGAACAAAACAGAACTAATGATCTTTTTATGATGCATATTATGATGAGACTGAAGAACTTTATTGCATGACAAATGCACATGGTACAATTTACAAAGTATGGCAACAACAAATTAAAAAAGTACAAAAGAAGAAGTATAGAATAAGACCTAATAAATCCTAATTACTATGATGTCAGTGATATAGATTATATTTACATGTAAGCTGGAAAGAGCAGTTACAGATAGACAAAAAACCATACCTTGACACCACTACTCTACAAACACATTATACATCTGATTTGATATGTATTTTAAAACAGATATTAAAGCTACAGTCCCTTGTTAGAATCCTGACAGTCGTGCTATGTAGTTGAGGCAACATATAGCCAGATCTTGAGGAGTCCAACCACTGAGCTGCCACCATGCCACTAAGTGGGCAAGGATGCATATTAAACAACCAGGAGCTAAGGATTGCAGAGGAACACAGCGTAGCCAACATGGAGTCCCTGGACAGACTAAACTACGTCACGTGTGATCACGTGACCACTACTTAACATAATACATACCAGTGGCGCAAGTCCCACCTGTTCTGGGCATGCCTCCTTCTTTTCCGTCGGATCTTTCAGGACCACTACGTCTGGTGGCCCGTTCACTTCCGTGTCCTTCTCCTTCTCCACCTCCACTGTCAAGACAGGCTTCTCTATCACCGACAACCTCGGGCCCCCGTTACACTCGCTGGACACGCTCACCCGTGGACTGTTTCCGTTGTTGCCGTTATTGCCAGGCTTGGAGTTAACCGACAGGTGACTACAATCACTTCCCTGAGATGTCGTACTCTCTCTAGTCCTCTGGGCCACGTTGCGCGACCGCAAGCTTCCCGACTGGGACGCGACGTCTGTGGGATTGAAGGACGCGCGTACGGTCCCGTCTTCTTCGTACGTGTGCGTGGTGTTGGTGAAGACTTCGTCGTTGAGGTTGTCCTCGTCGTCAGCGAATAGGATGCTCTCCCGTTCTCCGCCCTTGCTCCTGCGCCAGCTGAAGTGACTGCTGCGACTTCCGGAGCGGGACAGACCTGGGGAGTCCTGTTCAGGAACAGTCAGGGCAGACTGGAGGGGGCAAGAGAGTGGTGGAATATTTTATAAATTTTAACAATAATCTGACCCAGGGCTCTATAGCAAGCACCCATTTTTCTGTCAATTGCAAGAATTTTGAAATGTGTGATGGAAAAATTTTTATTTTATAAATAACTTCATCCACCTTGATGGACAAAATTGGCAAAAAAAAATTTTAGGGAAAAGAAGAAGAATATCCTAAGGACCACAAAGGACCACTCTGTTCAACCCCATGATTTGCCTGTCAAAATGTTGGAAATTGTGTTTTAAAAGGCTTGAAAATCAAAAGTTGTCTCTAAACCTCCCTAGATCACAATCACTGCCCCCAGGTCCAATCATGTATCTCAGGGCTGATATCTTGAGATAGCTAGAGCTCTGATCCGACCATCTTATGACTTGAGAGGTGCACTAGCAAAGGACTTTGATAGCAACAGGAAAGATTTAAACCGATACACACGGCTTAAAAATGTCATGTCAAAGTGTAAAAGCTTTCAGACAGCATCCGCCATCTTTCTTCGGCTACTGACAACAGCAGTCATGTGACCAAGAGGTTAAAAGGTCAACACATCTCACAGTTGATTTCAACTTGACTTGATGGTAGCATATACCTAAATTATGATTCAAACTATGAAATAGAGATAACAATGTGACAATAAGGATTTTCCTTACAGGATTCCCGGGTGTGCATTCGTCATCCTGTGAAGAGACACTGGCAGGATAGCTGACAGACTTCCCGTTGCTGGGGCCATCAGTGTTGGGTGAGCCCTGCGGGGTGGCCTCAGTCCTGGTGATGATGGGCGGCTCAGGACCAGCCACCACCAGTGTCCGCTCATTGTTCAACACACTTGGACTGGTGTCGTCACCATCACCATCTATAATCACAACAAAACATCAGGAAAACTCACTTCAGTACCAAGGCCAGCCACCAGGAAGGCCCAAGCTTGACTGGTTCACATTGGGCAATTCTGACTGGTTCACATTGCACTGCAGTACAGGTGTCATTGTTATAGATGCATTCCCAAATGTACAAATATTTTACATTGTACATATCTACACATATGCATGGTTACAGGGGAGGGACCAGCAAATCGTCATGCGCAGAACTAGCAGTGTGTACATCGACGATATATTTTGGGACTTATTTTTTAGATAGTTAAGACTTGAGGTTTGAGATAAAGGTAAATGTGTTTAAAAGTGCTTGTTTCTCGAGGTTTTAGCATAGATTTCAATTGGATCTCCTTAAGCTGGTCCCTGCCCTACAGGGAACTGTATCTACAATGCGGTCCCAAACATACAGGGGTTGGATACATAATTGTGGTCTGAGTTAACTCATTAAACAAAAGCAGTTACAAAGAACAGATTCCACAATGCGGTTTCAAATGTACAGGAGTAAAATATGTACAAGATGGTCATTCAACACAATAAACTCCTACTTCTTAAGTCTCCTACCTTTCCTTGCAGCTCCCACAAGCACCATCTTGTAGTTGCTGGGCCCTGCGAGTTGACTGTTTGAGTCATCCATTTCACTCTTTCTTTCCTCCTGCAAAGTTCACATTTCGTACATCAGATAAAGACAATACAATGAAATATAAGAAACAGCCTTTAGTGGTTAAGTATAAATGGATGTAATCGTCAGAGATGCAAATGGTGTATAACAACATTGTAAGCTTAGGTACCCTGTTCACATATTGCCATGCACCTGGGATAAAGGTAGGTTATATATATATAGTCAAGTTAAAAAAAGCTACTTTGCATGCCTGCACAGTCCAATACACATTATCAAATAACTGTTGGAACACCTTTTCTGAGGAGCAAAGAAATGTTGTTAGTAAAATTAAAGACTGGTTAGAGACATCATGAGACGTACAGGTCAGTCAGTGTTAGGAGACATGAGACATCAAGAATGAGTGGATCACTGAACTTGGAACTTACACTGGAACATCATGGAACATGCAGCAAGGGCATGGAATGGGGCACATCAAAGACTTTTGAAGCAAGGTACATGTAATCTCATGGGATACATTGTTTCTACATCAAAAGTAGCAAAGTCTTGGAAATGTCACTTTAAGGCTTTTTGCTTGTGAAGACATCCTTTATATCTTTTTGATGCCTTTTTTTATGCCTTGCATTACACACTATCAAACCAAATGTCATTAATGTCGAGTTCAAACTAACTGTACATTTGACAGTTTTAATGTATACGTGATATTTCATGTTCTGCTGACAGAGGTTCCATGCTATAAAGGAGTATTAGCATGAATTATTGGCCAGAGCAGACAACCAATATGCAGCAATTTGAATTTATGTTAATGCACAAAAAGCGTATTATTATTAAACATTGCTGTTGGCATTGCCATTAGAATAGGGAGTGTACAATGACTTGGGATGGCAAAGCTCCAGCATATTATGATATGATGCCTGATTGTTATGACTTTGACATTACAGTGTATAATGATGGATTATATCTTTTGTTAATGTTTCTTCTAATATCAGGAAAGCCAATGGAACATTATTATTAATAACAAATGGATTAGAAATGAAGGCAGTCAGTTACACCAGAGAATAGAAGACCCGTCACCAAAAATATGGTTTCACCAAGATTTGGGCAAAGTCTACTTGTCACCTTCAGTGGTGGGGTCAAAAGATTGGTTGTGGACGGAGTCTTTTTTGACATCAAACTTGGTCGTTTCCAAACTGCCAGGGTCTTGAGAGCTTTTGTTGCCCTTTGGACCTTCTCAATTTTCCGTTGCTGTGAACACAACACAAAACTGCACATCACAACACAGAGAAGTAAAAAAAAAGTATGGCTACTGCATGCTTTAATACATATTATCATATAGCCGGACGGCGTGGACCAATCAGAGGCCCGGATACCCGTGCTGTTATTTCCCGATAACAGCACATGTGGTGTTATGGCGGAATAACAGCACATGTCGTGTTATGGCTGATACCATTATGTTATAGGGTATAGGGGCATGCGACTCTTTCTGTAAACCTTTGTAGCCTTTTTTCTGTCCAATAAACTTTTTTTGTTTAGCTTCATTTAAACTACAATTTGCATTAAATGAAATTATCCATATTTGTTTTAAAGCGTATAATATATTCGAATGTATTTTTATGTATGTATATATATTAAAGCTGTTGTATTTCAAACAGGAATTGTGTTGATTGACAGTTTGGATAGGCTATATGATAATAATTTTAATGCACTGCCTTTTCCTCGTTGTATATGGTGTCATAACTGCATGGGCAGCTGCCATAACCACCTCATAAACCACCTCGTTCGCTTCGCTCACACGGTGGTTTATTCGGTGGTTATGGCAGCTGCTCATGCAGTTATGACACCATATACAACTCGGGGCAGTGCATTAACCCTTTAATCATGACTGTGCATTATACAATGTATATGCTAGGTGAAACATGCATAACAATAATTTTATCAACAGAATGGTATAAAACACACAAGTCACGCACATGCAGATAAAATATAATCACTTCAGTTATTAGGGATCCATCTTTGTTAGGCTTAAGCAAAAATTGCAGGATATGTTCCCTTCAGAAGTCTGCTCTTATTCTTTGGCTAAATGAAAGATGATGATTTTATAGTAGGCATACATGTAGTATGTTGACACTTCGAACCAACAAAGCAAAAACAATCAACAGTGTCGAATGCAAAGGTTTTAGACAGAGATCATTAATTAATTGACTTCTGGAAGAGAAGCATCTTCAGACAACTTCAGAAATGGATGTACATGTATCATGACAAACAACAGAGACATTGATATTTAGTAACTGAAAAAACTGACTGTACACATCAATGTAAATAAATGTACCTTCAGTGAATGTCACACACCATAATGATCATGATGATAAATTATTATGTTTATATGGGACAAAAGTGGATATTCTGACCACAACACACATTACATGTAGCCTCACCTCTGCTGAGAAACCCTCCACCAAGATGGCCACCAGTAGGTTGAACAGAACGTAGTTTCCGAAGGTCATAAGAGCGATGAAATACAGAGCCGCCCATGGAGATGTGTTCTTCATGCCATTGTAGAGAACAAGGTTCCAGTCTTCCTGTGTCAGGATCTGTAGCAGCAAACAATCAACAGTTAATAAAGGGTTAATGCCCTGCTCTGAGGTGTATATGGTGAGATAATCCCTGGTCTAGTGCGATAACCACCGAATAAACCACTGAGTGAGCGAAGCTTTAGTAGTCTTAACACTACTGTTACCGGTAGTGTTCTGTCCCCTGAATGTTGGTACGGTCCAAAAATTTAACCAACCACTTTTGAGATTACGGCCTGATAAAAAATGGGAAATAGCTTTCTGATTGGTCAACTGGGTATATGATAATGAGTATGAATGACTCAGAGATTCTGGAAGTTCTTGAAAAAAACTAGTGGTTCATAATATCTGGCCTTGATCTTTACAGTATAATTTGAGTGTCTCATCATCAATTATTATTGATGGATGAACTTCATATAAAGCTGGGAAAAAGAAGAAAAATTATCAAGAAGGAAGCAGTGTATGTGTACAAGACTAGTGATTTACAGTAAGCTGTTGTACTTACAACAGGGAGAAAGTGCATTAAGTAAGATCACTTCACCTGGAACACTGTAACAAGGGCCCACAGTAGGGTATCAAAGTTCTTCCGATCACACGTCACTTTCTTGTTGTGTACTGGATCGGGTTCACAGAACTTGTTCCCAAACAAGTGCATGCCCAGAATACTGAAAAATCAAGAGTCATTTCAGTTAAGCAACACCATAAGAGTTTTGCAACAAATGTGTAAGATAATTGTATTATATAATAAGACTAACTAATAGTATATAATAAGACACTACTAGCTGCAGCAGACAAACAAATTAAGGTTCAACACTGGGAATCGGGGATATATGATAAACTGACATTATGATATAAGACATCTTCTGGCAATCTAATGGCAGGTCAAAAATTAAGTTGTTCAACATTGCAAGTACATGTACTCAATACCAGCTACTTCTAAATGTGTCAAATACGATAAATGAACAGTCACCCAATTCAAAGTAATCACCTTATTGTAAAGGATTCAATAACACACACACTGCCTAGTAAAAATGAGACGGCTTTCAAACTGTTTTGGACGATGTTTATGCCAATCCAAGTCTGTTCCAGACTGTTGCAGTTTCTATATTCTACTTTGCTCCAAAGAATTTCATGAAATGTTCACAATTTGAGTGGATTTTGTTGAATGTTCAACGTTTTCTTTCTCAAGACCTACCTGAAGATGAAGATGAACAGGATAAGGAGGGCAAAGAAGGTTGCCACATTGTCCATCGTCTTAATCATGACCAGGAGCTGGCGTCTCAAGGCAGGTAAGAACCTGATCAACTTCAGTATTCTCATTAGCCGGAAGGTTCGCAGCACAGACAAGCCACCTTCTCCGTCTTCTGCAATCTCCACAATACTGCAGAAATAAAATGCAGCAGATATGTTAATATTATAGTGAAGTCTTGTAAATGAAGCGTAGCATGGGAATTCTTGTCCCGTATATTAGAGTTCCCATACTCTGTCCTTGGTGCTGAAGTTGAATTGCTGTCTGTTGTATTAAACACATGAAGAATGCTATTGATAAACTGGATTATCAAGTGTTCTAGCCATTTGTTTCTGTATTCAGTCAATGTCTGGTGCAATAGTGTGACCATTATGATCATAGGGTGGTCCAGGGGCATGCTCCCGGGGAAAAGTTTTATTCTATGTAGAGTGTAGACGGATCGCTCTAATTCGTAGAATGTAATTGCCACATTTTGCGTAGAGAGTAATTCGCCATTTGATTCTATGTAATGCGTTGTAGCTACCTGGAATTTATCGTAAAACATAATGGGGAGGCTTCCTGAATTCAGCGTAATACGTGGCCGGCTCTCAAAATTTAGCGTAGAGCGTTGTTGGGACCCCCCATGCAGGCCCTCTTCAACATTTAATACATCAATACAAAATAACAACTGTCACACAATAGTACAATTATATAGTACCTGACTATAACAATGATGCCATCAAACACGTTGAACCCGTTCCTGATGTACTCGAGCGGTCCGTAGGCCAGCAGCTTCAGGAGCATCTCCAGGGCAAACAGGGAGGTGAAGACCAGGTTACTGATCTCCAGGGCATTGGTCAGTTCCTCAGGCTGTAACAGATACAGGTGGAACAGGAGTTGATGTGATATACCAATCATCCGGGCATGTTAGTCAAATTCTGATCTGCAGTACAATCTATAACTGATGTTTGTTTTGCTCAATAAAGATCAAGCTGCTTAGATTCAGACTGTACTGTCATAAGAGAAAAAATATGCTGAACACTGATTTTTCCAGAGAATCTGAAGATTGTTTCAAAGAATCTGAAGATTGTTTCAAAGAATCTGAAGATTGTTTCAAAGAATCTGAAGATTGTTTCAAAGAACCTGAAGATTGTTTCAAAGAATCTGAAGATTGTTTCAAAGAATCTGAAGATTGTTTCAAAGAACCTTTCCAGAGAACCAGTCGAGAGAAGACTTTCTTCATTCCTAAAAATTGATGCAAGTAACTTGAATGTAAAAGCCTTCGAATTAAAAAAAAAGTAGACACCGTCATTACAAATATTGTAAATTCTACAGTAGATATATTAACACTGTAGAACAGACCTGATTGTGGAACTCAATCCCCATGCTCAGGGTGTTGACTAGGATGGCCACCATGATACCTCGGTTGAAGTACTTACTGTCCACAATAGTTCTCATAAACCTGCAAGAACAGAAAAGAACAATTGAGTTAAACATTTTTGAGACATACAGTGTACATCATGTAAATGCATCTTACAGCATTCATGGCAAACAAATTAAAGGGACTGGAAAACTGTAAGCCAGTATGAACAATAATGATTGCTCTAGGAAACCAACTGAAATTTTCTTGAGATCCGACTCGCGGAAGGGTCGGGACTGAGGGCAATGTAGAATACACCATGTTGTATTTTATTCATGTCATACCCACCCAAGAAAACGCACCTTTCGATGCAAAATGAGCCAAAATTTGGTGTCCCTAAGCCCCAAAATGCAACAACGTCCATTCTAACGTACGAATTCTGTATTCAAATTTTCGAAAGCAGCACACGTGGTTAGGGTGAAACGTGCTCAAATCGTTCTGTGGAAGCCAGGAAAGCCTGGGCCGTACCATAAAAGTACAGCCCAGTCAGGAACACCCGTATCGAACATTATCGCAGCCCGGATATGATATACATTGTAAATTCCTATACTGCACAGCAGAATTTACATCTGGCTGATGCTCACATCAGCTATTCTACAGTCTTCAAGAATATTTGCTGTACTATTTTCTATACCCACATCACAGACCCCGGGGATCGCTCATTAATACTGTGACCTTACTTGGTAAACCTCTCCCAGCAGCCTGGGGGTCTTGGTGGCAGGTCTACACTCTCCTCTCTGTACTTCTTGGAGTCCACTTCTTCATCGCTGACAGACACCTCAGACTCAGAGTTGGAGGCCCAGTCATACTGTGTGTGTGTACAGGTGCATTCTACATGGTCTTTGGACACGACCGCTGGAACTTGTAGAGAGGAGGGAATCACAGATGGGACGGAAAGTCTTTGGACTTGTAGGGACTGATCATTGTCGTCTGTTAACACAGAGAAGAGAGCATGGTACATGTGTGAGTACGCTGGCGGTAGGCTAGGACATTTGCTACCAATGCCTTCTAACATACAGTCCAAAGATCTAACATTATGGCACTCATAATGTATTGGTAACAGTAACACAATATGACAAGGGAGATGGCCAAGCAGTTTGCCAAAGTCTTGAAAACTGCTGCAATGCCAACATGCAAATAGTGCCAAGAACATCCAAAATACTGTGCAAGGTGTCTTCCAGAAACATATCGTTTAAACACATGGTTAGAAGGAGTGTGCAAACCTTAATGGTGAGCAGGGCAGGTCATTTATAAGTGAGTGAAATATACGAAAGGGTCTAATAAACAACCAGTTGTGAAACAAGGGAAAGCAACCAACCTGCTGAGAGAGTCTTCAGGGTCGGTCTCCTTGCTGAGCAAAGCTCAAGAAATAGAGCGTACATGTGTGCTCTGGCGCATGCTTGCTCATTGTGTGCCTAGCAGGCCACCCAGCTTTAAACCCAAGCATGGCAGATACATGTACAGGGAGAGGGATCGAGGACTACAACACACGAATCTTGACAGTGTGCTATGCTGATGAGCTGTTCTCTGTCTCTCCATACATCAATGAAGGAGTGAAATGATGCAGCTTACCTTTGGCTTGCCTTGTGGGTTGTACAAATGTACATTGAGACTTTTCTTGTTTGCTGACCTATGCAGATTTTGGCATCACAATGATTTTTCAGTTTTTTTGGGGGAGGTTGAAAATCAGGATAACCAATTCAGTGATACATTGTAACTAGTGGCATCTTTTCAGAAAGCGGCAATGCTTCAAGCAGTTTCTCCTAAGGGAATTTTTAATGCAGATCTAGGAATACTAGAGGGTGGGCTTTGTCCTTGTTAGAAGTCAGATTAGAAAATTCAATCAAGTTTCATTATTAGGTTGGAAATGAACATGGAGTTGACTGCTTTATCATTGGTACGTATATTCACAATGCATCTTGAATAAAAACAGTTGGGGGGAACAGACAATGTACGGTATAATTCTACAAATGCTGGAATGTAGTAGATCACTTTGGTCAAATATCAAAAGTTTTAAGTTTGCTCTAAACAAAAAATGTCTTTCCCACTTTTTCTGGGAGCTCACTGATCAACAAAATCCTGCAATGGTCAGCAACTAAACCCCACCATTAGAAGTTTGTCTCACTTCAAACAAGGAAGGCATTATGGAAAGTTTAAACATGATTTATGCCAGATTAATGCCAACTCCAGGATATCCAATAATTATGAGAAACCGTTGAAATGTTTTTAATAGGTGATCAGCAATGTTGTTATCATTGTTGTCGTTACTGTTGTTGTTAAAGATGGGTGATCCGAGAACATCCCACAGCAAAGGTTGAAGAAGCACCAGGTCAATTATAGAAGAGAACTGACTCGAGGACAGTGATTATGAGATCAAGGTCAAAAAGGTCACAAGGGGAGGGGGGTCATCAGTCATGTGAGACATGTTAGCAGCCATCACCAAGCCTACCTTGGAATATGTTGGGATCCGACGTTACTGGTTTGGTGGAAGGCCCGGGACTGGAGTGGCATGATTGGGTGACGGCTCGAGCGATATTTTTAGTGGATGCGACAGCCAGGGTCTGCAGTTCCTCCACAGCGGGTCTGGACTTCAGGGGGGGAAGCACCTTCACCCCGGGGGTGGCAATGGTTGGCAGGGGGACGCTAAGATGTTTTGGTGAGGGCACGTTAACATCTTTAAGGGGAGGGAGGAGGGAAGACTTTCTTAATGTAGTGTCAGGCTCACCGTTGGTTGCGGCATCACTATGCGAAGACTGTAGGGACTCTCGTGAACGATGCACGCCGTTTGTTGAAGGCACTCGAAGCAAGTTAGACTTGCTCGGGGACTGCAAGGATTCCACATCGCTAGGTTCTGGAGTTGCGATAGGGGCGAGGGGGCTCGGGCAGGGGCTCTGAGACAACGTCACCTGGTACTTTGGCGGACTACTCTCTATGGGAGGCAGGGGGTTGGCACCTCCGAAATGGTAATGGTGGTGATGATGATGATGGTGGTGGTGAACACACACAGACTTTTTTCTCCGCCTCCTCTTCCTCTGTAGGGTCAGAGCGGGGTCCACTTTCCTCTGGTGTCTTCCCTGGAATCTGTGGTACAATCTCAAGACTCTCCGCCTCAACCGTTTGCACATGTGCACGCACAACTTGAACACCTCTTCATAGCAGCCTCTCGGATTGTCTGGATTGGGCTGACTGGATAACGTACTTGTGGAGAGGTACTTCCGCCTCTGCTCCTCCATGAGCCTGCTTTCTCTTTGTTTGGTTTCAGAGAACTGTGTGGCTATGACCACTAAGCAAAGGTTGATCATGAAAAATGATCCAATCTGCCAAGAGATAAAGAAAACAACAAGGCTTGCATGAGAGAAGACAGTGATGAACAAATGCAGTGATTTCAGTATACATAATTCTCTGCATCAAAATATGTTCATTGACTTTTCAGCTATTAAACATCCATACAAATTCCAAAAACCTGCTGTTCTTACAAAATTACCACTGAAATTTTGACAACTGAAATTTTGACAACTGAAATTCTGTTATCAAATTACTCATAGTATTGTATGCAGATTTTCTCAAACAAAAAATTAGATTGAAGTCCTTTTGTAGACACTGGTACATGCAGTAACATCAGATGAATGATCATACCTTCTCATGCATACATCAAAGGCCTTCCAAAACAAGTGTTTTGATAACTTTTTAATGAATTAAGACAAAGACTACTTACTCTTCAGTCTCTAAGATGTTCAAAGACAACAACTACTACCCTCTACGGTGACAGTAAGATAATTAAGATGTGAGATATGCAACACTAAGACATGCCACTACCTACATACATACTTGCAATAAGCAAATGCAATACTTTATCTACACAGCTGCTTTTTCACTATCATGCAACTACTGGCTATACATACATTGTAAGTAGGATACACAACAGAAAGCTGCATTTCTAATCTATGCATGCTATTGTATAGCACTGACTTTTAGACTAGATAATCAAGACCCTTGCAATCAGGATATTTTGTTAATTTCTTTCTCATTCTTCACACAAGTGCAGACTGAGTTGTTAATGTTTGCATGCAGCTCAAACCAATGGGCTACATGACTACAGAACTAAAAACATTGTCTACAGAACTACAAATCCAATCCAAGCTTTTAGAAGGATCTAGAAAGAACTCAAGTTTGGTCAGCTGAAGGGGAACCACTTGTATTCAGCTGCCTGCAACTTTAAGAGGGGAGATGATCTCTGAAGGAAAAAAAGACTTTGAGCATCATGAAGATTGGAGGAGGAAGACAGTATTTTACTTGCAGGACAGGTCAAAAATGTGTAAAGATTGTATATTGAAAAGCATTGGGCAGTTTTGGGGACAGTGGTGTACATGTGTAGAAGTCATAGGATTTTCAGGAAAAAAAAAAAGAACAAAAAACATGATTCGTATATAGGAAGTGGGAAGTGCTTCACAAAACAACACTGATGAAGTTGGGAGGAAGAGACAGAGTAAGATTTAGGATTTGTGTAAAATTTACAATGTTGGGAAAAGCTGTGCAGATATAGAGGGGGGGAAATAGAGAGCATGTGTGGAGGCAGCTGAATGCAAACATGGCATACCTTGCTGGTGCCCACACGTGTACTTACGATGATAAGAAATACGAAATAAACAGCGTCCCAAATGGAATGCGCATCCTGAACACTGTACATGATGTAAACCCATCTTGCAAGACTGATTACCTAGAAGTTGGTAGAGAGAGCAGCTAGCAGTGTTGAGCAGAAAGACACAGGGAGCACCACATACTGTAGATAATGCTTATAAATACAACTGAAGTCAGTCATATCCACATGTATTTGAACTGTAAACGTTTTCCAAAAAATAGTGTTGTCGTAGAATGGAAGAGAGCCTTTTACATCATATAACACTGGTCACTTTAATTTTGGAAAGTCACTAGACATTTGGAATCAAGGACAAATTGATGTTCTATAGTACATTCAAGTTTGATATCAGTACGTAGATCTTGGTGTAATGAGCACAGTGATATGAAAATTATTGTTCTGCGGTGTCATAATTTATATATGATAACATTCCAGAACCAAGATCCTCTTTTTCAAGAATTTTTTCAAATTCAAGAATTTTTTCAAAGTCAAACCCAACTGTCTTTTCTGTGAGAAATCAAACATTATTCCCTTGTCAGATAAAATTTTGGAACAGAATCGTGTTCTATTTGGGTCACCTGAGGTCATATGCGGGTGATTATTGGATTGTTTAATATATGGATTGGGATGAATAATGACCCGGTTTTGACTCGATTTGTGACATTACGGCATCATAAGGAATGTGGAATGGAACCTTCTGATTGGTCAACGTCACTAACGTCGATAATTTCTATTGAAATATATCCATGGGACTGAGTGACTTCAGTTGTCAACAAACTTCTACAAACACAAATGGGTTGATCCATACTTACAACAATGAGAATAACAAAATAGACCCAGTTCCAAACGGAATGGCAATCCTGTATATAGTACATGATGTCTACCCAGCCCTCTAGGCTGATAACCTACAGTGAAGTCAGAAAGAAATGGTTCATTAGTAAAAACCGACATGCAAAGCTCATGCTCAAATCATGGAGAGAAATGATAGTTGTATCTGGATTCATGCATTTCTAATTCATGCTGAAACAAATGTCTTACATATTTAGATTAAGAACTTTAATGGTATCATACCCAAGACAGGACTATGGATACATGTCAGACAATATTACACAATGTCATTTCTTTTTTAACGTCTGAATTCATACAAAAAAGGATCAGGCATGCAAAAGAATAAGTCATTGAAGATGTTAAAAAATTGACCATATCAGGCTGGTAAACTATAGTACTAGCAGCTTCATACAGCCAACCACAAGACTCTGGGCATTCCAAATCTGTTTCACTATTAATAATGCACATTCAAGCATTCACATTCACAGGATAAAAACATGTAGGCATATGGTGATCTGTCATTAGTCCTAAGTTATAGCACAACAACACAATGGTGACAGCTGGTATACTGTACAACCCTATAGGCTTGTAATAGTACTGTCTGATGTATGATTCCCCATTGGCAAGTGTTGTTTATTTCAACTCTTGTCTGTGTAATTTCCCAACATATTTATAACACTGTCATGAGATTTGATAGGCCGATACCAGCTTTTCATTATCATATATACTATCATGTACTTGTACTTGGAGCATTTTTCATGCCAGATGGAATTTGTACCTGAATCCTAGTGTTAAAGAATACATTTATCAGTTCACATTGTAAAATGCAGTACATTGCTGCTGGTCATTGAATGACACCCTAAACCACTACTTTAAGAGTTACATTAAACATTACTTCTTGCACCCTCCATTGCTGGTTATAAAAAAGTAAAGTAGCTTAACATTAGCATAACATACTGAGACAGACATCCCCCATTACATGAGACTTAGTGTCCCATACATTCAGCATAAAGCAATGACTTACTTGGAAAATTGCAACCCATGCATACAGTATGTTGTCAAACGAGATGGCATCCTTGAAAGGGTTGTGTAGCCCTTTTTTGCACTCTGTGTAGTACTGGTTCCAGTTGATGCAGTTTGTTGTGAGGTTCATGGTTGTGTTCAAGTAACCCTCGATGGTTCCGTTACAGACTGCATCACCGTCCTTCAGGGCCGGGATGTCGTAACAGTGCAATAGTCCATTGCTTTTGGAGCAGATGAAGTCTTCCTCTTCAGAGGGCCTGTAGTATGGGTTTCCCATCACATATCTTGCAAGTGGTTCCCTGAAAATAGTCCAAGATGATGTTGGTCATCAGAGTATTCAACAACAAGGAAGAAAAGATGATATTTGACGGGACCCCAGAAAGTGCGACATGGAACGAAATGGAACAAAATTGAACAAAATTGAACAGAATAAAACCAATTTCATATAATGAAATCATCATGGCCTAAGGAAGACAGCTGGTGATAAAATTCCTCCTCGTGGGCATAACGTTACCACTAAGACGGATGGAGACCACAAAGAAAAAACACTTTGACTACTCAATTCAAAATTCACTTTATTCTTAGCATACCCTGATTGATCTTATAACGTTGCAGTTCTCAGAATATCATCAACCTTAACATTGCCTTTGGACATCGAGTGGACACTAACGGCTTTCCTTCATACATATTTCATTTCTTTTTGTTCCATTTTGTCCATTTTGTTCCATTTCGCACTCTCTGTACACCGTATTTGACCGATGTGACGGTGGGAGATTCCATTTTCCCGCCATTTTTTATTCCCTCCTGACGTCATCACACTTCTGACTTCCAGAGTGACAGCGAGTGGATCACACATCTGACAAAGGTTGATGAGATTGACCAAAAACTTATGATGTTGGTCTTTTCTTGTGTTGGTGCAATGTTTAAACTCTACAACTATGAAAAGATGAAATTATGCATAAATGTGTGACTCTGCTGTACTTATAATCATATGGTACATGCAGCATGTCGGCAGAACGTACTGCACCTGCATGAAACCCGTAAGGTATTGCTCATAGCACTTCAGTAGAACACCTCATATAAGATCGTATATGGTATAGTATAGTATGATCGTAACACTCCATCTGTAGTTTCCAAATGCTATGTCGGAAAAAATATCTTCTGCTAAAGGCAAAATTCTGATGCAACGTTGACAAAAAATCCAACGAAAACCATGAAAAATGGGAGGTTTATTCAAGCACAGTACGTTCTGCCGACGCGCCGGTACATGCCTATCTCTAATCCCTTTTGGGAAGTAAAATGTGGCTATTCAAGTCATTGTACTCACGGCAGCGTGAGGTTTGTGATGTTGCTGTCCAGATAACATCTGTTCCTGAGCTCCCCTGCCCACAGCTGCACCCCCAAAATGCCGAAGATAAAGAAGACAAAGAAGCAGAGCAGGAGGACGTTGCCTAACATAGGCAGGGTGTCCAGTAGGAGCATCACCAGAATGCGCATACCTGGCAAGAGGTGGGTGTTAACAACAATGTTTTGCATACAAATATACATCATTGAGAAAAAGACAAAATGTTATACAAAGTTTTGCCATATCTGCAAGGGTTTCAAGCTGTTTTGGAAAAGGGGTTTGCAAATTCTGAGAAGCAACATGCTTGGAACACTTCTAGAAAAAATATGGTAACTTCTTGTATTAGGTACAGGAGGCAGTTTAATTTGAAGTCCAGGATGCCACACAGAATTCTTTACAAACAAGTTTTCTGTGGAAAAGGTGTGAAGTTTTGATTGGAAAGCCCAGTTTTGATTGGAAAGCCCATGCCACATAACCACCACTGTTTCAGCACCAAAAACAGGTACCACACATTTCTTTACAAAAGTGTTAGATCATAGTTTTCAGTGGAAAAGGTGAGCAGTTTTGATTTGATAGCCAGTGTGCCACATAACCACCACAGTTTCAGCACCACAAACAGGTACCACACATTTCTTTACAAACATGCTAGATAGTTTTCAGTGAAAAAAGGTGTGCAGTTTTGATGGGAAACCCCAATATGCCACACAACCACCATAGTTTCAGCACCACAAACAGGTTCCACATGTTTCTTTAAAAAAGTGTTAGAAGTTTTTAGTGGAAAAAGGTGTGCAAATCACTCAAAAAAAACAAGTTCAGGTCATATCAAAGATGCACAGATTAACATGAGTACAGATTTTATGGGGTTAGATAGAAGTTTTCAGTTCAAAAGGTGTGCACATCACAAAAGAAAAACAAGTTCGGATCATATCAAAGATGTGCAGATGACAAAATAGTACAAAATTTATGGGGTGTGCATAACTGTTACCCTGCTATTGGGGTGCTTCCATAGCAGGGAAGGGTTCAAAAAGGTGAATGTCACAGTCACTGGGACATGCACAATGGGGAATTATAGTTTGGGAAAAGTGGAAAAAGGTCACACCACGGGTCCACTGTTTTTGACTTACTAGGGACTCTGTTGATGGCCCTGAGGGGCCTGAGGACTCGGACTGTCCTAATGGCTGATAGGGTAACACTTTCCAGTTCCAGGGAATATTCCACCATTCTGCAAAAGAGAGAAGAGAAGTCATCTTGACACATCCATACATTCAAGCTGATGACACTTACATGTATGATCACAAGAGCATGCAACATGCTTTCGACATATATCTCTACTTCTTTTTTCATGATTGAAGAACAGAATTTAAAAAAAAAACACAGCTTGCCATGATAGTCATAATATCCTGTAACACATCATAAATAACAGTTATAATGTGAAACATCTACTGCTATTAAAGATACCATAGATACAACTGTGTTCTAAATGCCTAGTTGCTACAGTGCAAGGTACATTTGTAGTAATGCAGGTGCAAGACGCACATTGAGATGTAGCTGAAAACAAACAAAGAGTGAAGGTTTAGAATAACACCAGGTAGATTGTGCGCTACATGCAATGCAGTGATGAAGATGATATTCCGAGTAGGGGGGAGAGTGGACACCACAGTTGGCAGAAAGCAGCAGAAATTTGACATATTCACATCCAAACAGTCGGTACTCCAGAAATAGGGTGCTGAAGCAGGCAAGACATTTAATGGAGTTGCCTCATTGGCAAAGAAGTCTTAAGAATGCATGGGTGATGTGGATCTATGTGACGTGACTAACTTTTGTCTCAAAAATCAAAGAAATAATCAAACAGCAGGGAACAGTGAATTCAAACTTCTGCACACACTGCAGACAGGCTACAAGCTACCTGGTAATTACATTAAACATACAATTTGTCTCGTGTCTTCTTGACTCAGGGAGAAGACAGTTTAAGAGGAGAAACCTACACATGGATGGCAAGTAAAAAACCATGCTGTACGGATGTAAACCATTGTTGTTAGACTCCTTGACCAAAGGGCACTTCCCGCAGGGCCCACACAGACAGACAGTTCATGACATGCCCATGCAGACATGGTACGGTTAGACGTGTTCCACTTAGAAACAAGCAGTCACATTTAGAAATTAAAACAAAATTCTCCCTTACATTTTCATTACATATTCTGCCACGCTATGTAGGAGTGAAGTACAGAGAGATTGGGATTAAAATGTGGAAGGAAAAAGTCTCCAGTTAGCAGAACGGTAGGTTTGAACACCTTGTAAGTGAGTACCAAGAACATGTAGCTCGCGATGTCTTCCAGTGTAAGATTTAAGTTGAAACCACCAATCCACAAATTCCTAGACAGCTTGGCAAATATGACCATAAATTATAAGGTTGAGTTGGAGAGGGTGGGAACAAATTCACCAATCCATCCACCATGTTGCATAGCATTTTTTTTAATTTGCAGTAGATTCTTGAGTATGAGAATTACATTTCTTACATTTTTTAGAATAGAACTTCAACTTATCGATTACAGTTTTCTCAGAACAGGTTGATTCTGAACAAAACTTTGCAGATATCACTGTGTTTGCAAACTGCAAAGGGAGGAAATTTAGGAACATTCCAGGAATGTTGCTGTCTAATCTAAGGTCTCACACCTCTACTAAAATGGACTAGTCCAGATTACCCAGGTGGCTGTACAAGTTGTCTCTGTCTGCTCCATTTCCTGCTGTCTCATCCAGAGGCATCAAATAATTGTCTGTCTACAACTGTTCAAGTGGGCTTACGTTTCCCCCAGCGCTACAACAGAGGCTTGTCAGTTTGCCAACCTTCTGTAACCTACATCTAATCTGGGTCACTTCTCACATATATCAGAACAATTGCAACAGATGGGTTTGAATCCAACTGATTTTATCACGCAAAACTTCATGTCTTGACTTGTCTAACTTTTGTTTCTTTTTGGACTTAAAAAAATTCTCTTCACTTATTTGCATATTAATCAATAGTTTGTGCTTATAAACCTGCATTTCTCCTCTGGTCTCTCAGTCACTGACGAAAGCTAGTGAATACTAGCTGAAACGTCTGTTTCCAAAATCATATCCAGTTGTTTGAGTAACTGCTTTTTGGCTTAAAACTTAGGAAATTTTAGGAGCACAAAAAAAGCTGAGTACATCCCTTGTTAAGTGTTTTAGCCCTCTAAGTTCTGTCAGAATTTCGATTCGAACAGGTCAGAATTTAAGGAGCTCACTTTCCCCTGACTAAATATTAATAATTATCGATATTATGGCACATGCTGAATGTGGTATGATAAGGTGGGTCATGCACATGATACTTGACATGAGAACTTTTGTATATCGGCAATTATTTTACAAAAAAACATAATCACTTCCTTGAGTGTGATTTTGCATCTTCATATTTTCCAAAGGCAAATTTCAAACAAGTCACTGGCTAATTAATATATTTTAACAACATATAGTTTTGCGATTTGAAACAAAAGGTCTATTAAGAAGTATTGTTTCTGTGTGGAAATAGTAACTGATGTCCACAATGTATATTTCTATAATTGTGCACCTCAGCATACAGGTATGGAAAAGGTCTCACCTCCAGCTGTATTCAAAAATCCTGAGCATGGAACACAAAACACAGTGGGAGGTGAATTTAGACCACAGCAATTGCCTTGCTATAAGCAATGTTGAAATTAAAAAATGCTCGTGAAATGGGGAACAAAATTTACTGCTGAAATGGAGGCAAAAGAAAAAAAACTGGACCAACCAAAACCATGATGATAATACCAACATGGTGAATGGGGCCTATCATTGTTCATGTAAGAGCTTTATGACCATATTGTCTTAGTTAATGTTGCAGAACATATATATTGCAAAGCCCACTTCTTCTCCAACAAATTATCCAACTGGAAAGTATTTGTCTGTCAAGGACGGCACCAACAGTATATCTATCCAAGCCTTGATCTACAATGTATCTGAGGAACTCAGATGTTAAGTATCATTACATACATGTAGTATGTACATCTACATGTAGTGATCCATTAATATCTTGGAAGATGCTCACTGAAGGATACAGTAGCTAATCTCATGGTGGATGGATGGGTAGATTTGACAGGCTATTTGTCAAAATGTTTCAGAAGCTGAGGTTGATACCAGCTAAAAGCCCAAACTTTGGAGATAAGTGCAGTTTACCCTGTGTTTACACAAGCTCTTGCTGCCTGGGGTTGCAAATGTCGTGGGAGGGGGGGGGTGGCTGCCAGGAGTGTGATTTAGTAACTAAAGGTTAGCTGCAGTTATCACCATTTTGCACTATTCGTATTCTTCAAGTTCAGACTTTTTCTGTGTTGACAAGCTGCTGTGGATTGGTAGCTTCAGGTGAAAGTATTAATTATATTTCCCAGCATATTTCATATCTACTGTAAGTTGTAATGATACCAACTTCATTATTACATTTCATGTAGCACCAACTCATTGTTAATACATTCAAAGCAACTCTTATCACAAAATGTATCAGAATTGGAGTCAAGAGTGTCTAGAAATTCATTTAAAATCCCAAAACACCATTTTTGTTGATAAAGGTAGACAATAGGTGAATAAAAGGCATTAAATTTTCGCTGTTTTTATACAAAAATTCTTGATGTTATTGTCATAAGAATGTGTTGCCTTCTTTCTTTTGACTTACAAAAAAAGCATGCATGCTACAGTCGCATAACCCATGCCTACTTAGCATCAATATTGCTTCAAGCTCACAGTAGATAAAATGTTTAAGAAATATGCTGAGAATATTGTCAAGGGGTATCTATATGTGAGTCATATCAACTCTAGACAACAAATATTACGTCTAGCTACAGAAAAGTCAGGTTAAAACTAAACATAAACATTCCACATCAGACACACAAATAAGGGAATTTTTTTTCAACTGCATGTTTTTATAAAACCTCCAGCAACATTATGGCAGATACGAGTTGCCATTTCTGATAACATAATCTGGTAGTGTTCATCTCAATTCTTTTTTATCCTCTGATCCTTACAGCACAAGATCTGCAGTAAGTCTGCAATAGTTCATCATCAAGTACAACAATTTGATCATTCATCACCCATTTTTCCTTAGACCAACAGAACCCTGAAAACTAATTCTTGCACGCACGCACGTACCAATATTAGCACTTACATACCTACTTAAAGTCTCCATAGGAAAAAGCCATCCTAAGGAGTCAAGTAAACTTAAAGGTTTTTCTGATTTCTTGAAATGCAGAATAAGGAGGTTGGTAGGTTGGTGATCGTTTGATAGGTTTGGTGGGATAGCAAAATAGGCAGTGAGATGAATTGTGTAGCATTGTTTTCTACATTGTACATTGTAATCCGGACTCATTAGAAAGCAAGCTACTCAAAAACAAACATGAAAATGCTATTTTTTGGTAAAACAACACCAAAATAGATATTAGGACAATGATTTTAAGACTTAGATCAGTGCATGTATACATGGCTTCTCTCAAACAGTAAAATTTCCAAAAATTCTGATGTAGGGAAATACATTTGTGCTGTACATAATATTTGCTTCCAAAGATATCCTCCAAGTCATGTACATTTGCACTGTTCACAGACTTTCACAAACAGACCTTTAAGTAGAGACAGGCTTACCCAGCGAGTACAATGAAAGCGTCCAGTCGGTTCCACGTGTCACCAAGGTAGCACTTCTTCCCGAAGATCCCCATCGCGATCATCTTCAGGGCCATCTCTGCTGCGAAGAACGCGAAGATGAAGTGGTCGAAGCCCTGGAGGACCATGCAGCGCTGAGGACAGGTCTTGTCGTTACGAGGCTGGTACATCCCCAGGGTGACACAGTTCAGCAGGATCACCATCATGCTCAGCCGCTCAAACCATGTGCAGCGGAGTCAAGGAAAGTTCTGACATGTAGGAAAATTTCTGAGACTACTGGTAGTCCCGTTACATGATATCATTCTAATTCAGTAAACCTATTGTTTACTTGTGGTATATGTAATTATGCAATCAATCGTTGTGTGGAGTAGTATGTACAGTCATATGAATAGCAAATAAACCATTCATATGCAGTAGCTCTTGAGTCTCGAAATAGATGTCATCACACTGTGATCATGTTGAATAAAATATGACACAAAAATTGGCTACATTTCATACTTTTTTCAGAAGCTCATTATCCAAGATACAAGATAAAATTCAAAAAGTACACAGTACAATGAATCATAATGCAGCTATGGAATAAGAAAAGTTGAAAGCTAGTCATTTTCACTTGAGATTTTTCAAAAGCTATCTTGCCACAACAACATTGTGCATGCGCAAGAGAGAAACTTTCCACTTCACGTTATATTTTAGGCAAAAATGACGTTATATAAGGACATCTTTTCCTGGCTTTGAAAATCACCTCCAGATCTAGAATATTACAGCCCCGAAGTCAAAAGTCAAGACCTTAACTCTCTCCTACAGCCCCGTGTTCAGATATGAACTCTAATCTACATGATCTTGACAAAAAACATTTTCTTCTCTCTAGTACAGAGCAACTCTCTCCTGGTACTTCATCTTAGGCTTTCAAAGGAAACCCAAGGTTCCTAGATTGCAACATGAAGTATGAAATATTTTGATGGCCCGAGAAGTACATTCTGTGGCAATCCTGTAGCAATTCTAAATCATCACTTTCTACATGATATAAGTTTAATGGTGCTGAAGTCTCTTCAGAAATCCCTCAGCGCTGATACGACATGCAAGTTGAGATTCGGAGCACGTAAGGAGAACTCCACAACACACATATTTGATCACACAAAGAGATAACCCATTCTGATGGCTAGGTTTTCCTCAGACACCTGGGGCAATGAATACTGTACAGGAGGACATTCATGTTGCAGAGCTTATATAACCGAAGAGAGAACTCAAGACAGAAATCTAGTATTAGACATGATAAGATCTAGAAGAGTTATTGACTTTTAAACCAGCAAGTCTGCTCTGAATTGTGTGACCAAACTTATGGGTAGAGCATGTGGCACTACAGCTAAAGAAGACAAATTTGCACCAAAATTTGTCCGAAACTTCAATGGATAAATAAGATATTTATGTCATTGATGAATCAAATCATTTGTAATAAGCAGTTTATATGTACATGTTTTCTGACATGGACACCAGGTAGCTCAGTCATACAGTTTTTAATTTTGAAATGATACAGGTTTTTTTTACTCTTTTTTTATGACATAGGAATAGATGAAACACATACATATTGGGTAAACTGAATCATGGACCTATAATTACAGTTTTTTTTAATTTCAAAACAATAAAGTATTTTTCTAATGTTCTTTATGACATAGGAGTGGGTAAAACATACATATTGGGTATATTGAATCCCGCACGTGTGATTACATACTAAATCCTGTGCAATTTTTTTTAGGGTTAATTGCGGTGGGATCTTGGAGCCTGTTGGGGCTTCCGCACTTTGGAGCTATTTCCTGTTCCCCTCAGAAGGTACAGGAACAGATATTGCACTAATGCTTGCCATTAATCACTGTTATTGCATCGTGTTCAACAGTTGGCTGGAGACGTTAGTCATTTCCTTACATATTGCTACAAGCCTCGGGGTTTACATGGACTCTGTTTGTTTTCCAATCTTAGAAATTTCTAACTTCAAGTCAGCCTCTGTGCAAGAAAAATGATGTTATTAATGTCTTAGGCCATGTTGATTTGATTATATGGATGACATCCTCTGGTAACCCCAAAACTGATGCGAGCGTGCAAATAAAAAAAAAGTTTGGCCAAAAAAAAAAGTTGCCTTTATTCGGAAATCTACATGGTCATGAAGGTTGAACAAATGACATAGGGTATGGTATATGGGGAATAATCTACTCTTCATCAGTTCAAATTCATTTCTTAATATTTTCGTCTTTTTCATTTGATTTTGGCATTCTACGACATTGGTATTGTTTTCCAATATTTTTTTGTGCAACTTACAGAATACATTTGCTAATTTTTGCAACTTTTGTATGATTGATTTACAGCATGGTTGAAAACTTTTTTTTTTTGAAAATGGCCAAAAATTCATCCGCCCGTGGATGTCATCCATATAATCAAATCAACATGGCCTTACTGAGAAGACCTTGAATCTTGAAGTATATTCAGTATTAGGATAAGAATGAACAGTGGGTAAACATACATGTACAAAATGTATGGGGTAGATATTTTCAAGATGTGCATATCATGTGTTATTATGGCTTAACCTCGAGAATCAAAGTTTATCAATCAATCATGTTAAGACTTTGGCCTAGGGAGGCATTTCAATATGTGTGAATAAGTAACTTGTAAGACCTGCAACACAGTAATAAACAGTGGCTAAATATATGGGGTAGATACTTTCAAGATATGAATGTCATGCGTTGTTTAACCTCGAGATTCAAAGTTTACCAATTTATCATGTGGAGAATTTGGCCTAGGGACACATTTCAACTGCCGAACAAGCTTTCGAGTTTAAATAAAGGCTTACTACTACTACTTCAATATGTGTGAAAAATTAACTTCTAAGACTGGCAACTCGGTAATAAAAATGACAAGAAACAATAATTCATTTGTACGACTTAATCAGGGCAACATTAGTGATCACAAAACAGGTCAGCCATAGCCAATACAAATGGCATCAATTGGCCTGCAAAATTAACTTTCCCATACCTGGGATCCCCATTCAGTACCAAGGACAGTATAAAGTCATTGCAGGATCTATGCATACAAATGAACTTATCAAAGAATTTCTAAAGCCATTAGATAGCTTTAACTGTGTGATCACTTTTAGCACAATAATTCATACAGAAGAAGCTTTGGTTTTGCAGGATTGTGTATCCTATTTCTGCAGTTTGCATACACATTGCTAGGTGGCACTTATTGGCTATCAAGCTGTGTTGTTCACTAAGGAAAGACAGTTTGATTTCCAGGCCGCTACAAATCCAATGAACTTTTTTTTCAGGTCATGCAGGAGAAAGAGGAATGGTATTTACATGGATGACATACCTGAGGGGATTTACGTGCTACCTTGGTAACAATTATACAGCCTTTCAGTGTTCAAAATGGTTTAAATTTCACTAAATTGATCTGACGACCATCGTAAATCGATGAGACGCAGTAAAATGAGGGCGTGGGAGAACATCACAGACAATCCCCTACAGCTATGATTTAGCAGCACTACGTGGGGTGCTGCAAGGTGCTTGTGACATTTCCACTGAAGCAACACTACGGAGATTGAAGTCTAGAACAGGGCCCAGTTTCTAAACAGAACTGGCTAACAGACACATTTACAATAAATATGCACGGTTCTCCTGTTACATTGGAAATTCTTCTATGCCCAACCTTGGAAAAGTCAGCACAAGCCAGTACTGGCAGGCGATATGCATCTCTACATTTTATTTTTGAATATCTGTATTTTTTTCCTGAGCTAATGTCACCCAGTGATGTCAGCTTAGGAAAAAGCACAGAAATGCAAAAATAAAACATACATTAGATAATACATGCAAATGCCCAAAGTGGGCAATTGGGATTTGGGAAGCTTGCTAGAGAGTCTAAAAAATTCACTTTTAGAAGGCCGTACAAGCTCAATTTCTCAGTCATTATGATTGGAACAAACTTCAAGTGATTATATTTTATGTACACTTCCGATATTTGTATGTATTTTACAGCCTTTTTTTTGGTGTCATTTGGTCTTTAACCAGCCATGTTTAAGATAAGTTTCACAAGGTGTTAACAGAGGAACCTTAAGAAATCCTACAGTACAATCTTATTGCTAGTTTCTGTGCCTACACAGCATTTCTTCTACACCTGGCAACCAAGGGCCGCTATACTCAACTCCTATTTGAACAACACTTTCCTTAAGGAGGCCTGTATACCCAAGATAATACAGCAGTAGGTCCTTGCAGTGGCCATTGATCAATCAACCAACCCATGTGTCATCAATAACATGCCCCTTCCAAATTACTAATGTAAGACATTGTGGTAAATCTATAGAAGATACGTGTACTTTGATCGGGCCCCATTACTATGCCCATGCTGTCATCTTGCCCACTGCAATTACTGGAGTGGGCAAAGTGCTCCACCCTATGTTTAGAGACTGGGGAATTTCAAAGGACAAAAGGACTTTGAAACTGGATGAAAGCATCCAATCATGCTGCCACTAACGTAATGTAATAGATGTGCACTTTTGTCAAATAAGGCTTCATGGAATATATATATAATATTATATAACAGTGGTTTACGCTAGAGTGGTGCCAAGACATATCTCACAAGTACTTTTAAAGTCTGGACACATATTTTACCAGGAGATCACTTTCACGCTTTTAATGGATACAACAGTGTAGTAGGTGCATATCAAGTAGGTAGTGTCAGAATCTAAGTTCTTGAGATCACAGAATGATGCATTTTCATGCTCTCTTTTGACGATTTGAACACTGTGACATCCATAGATATCCATAGTCAGCAAGATCTAAAATTGATACAATCATATATTATTATCTTCACCTCAACAGATGCTTAGCCCTTCAGCAATGAATAAAATAACCATATTGATGCTATGCTAGGTTTGATGTATAATCATTATGATATATTTTGGTAATTATGCTAGAACACTGCATCATATTTGAGTTAAGACAATGACAATGATCTTTATTGCATTTTCATGCCCAGAAGGGCTAATAGTTGCATTCTGAATAAATAAGATCTACAGGTTGAGCAGATGAACAAAATGAATGAAAAGCCCTCCAGCTAGCTACATGTATCATCACGTACACACTGCAGCATATCTTTCTTACTTCTAATGCGAACACAATTGAATCTCTACAGAATTTCAGACTCCCTTCCCCCTTTATGACCTCTAGCTTCTTCAACATTCA